ATTTCTTTTCCATTTAAGTACCAAGCTATTTCTGGTTTTGGTAGACCATCTGCTCGAACCATTACTGATATTTCTCCTTGGTCTTCCACTTGATCGTCATTAAGGCCAGTAATAAACTTAGGTCTTTCGGCTAAAACGAAATACAGGATATGAACAGATATGCTATAATATGGCAGAAAAGAAATTTTGACATTAATGCCTTATACAAGAGAGTTCATGAAATAAAGTTAAGTACTTATTTTTTTTATTTCTTTTGATGACTAAAAAGAATCTAAATTTTATATATTTAATTTTAATAAATGGAGTTTACATTTACACCCAAAAAAAATATCAATAGAAAACTGAAATTCGTTAGAAATTTATATGATTTATTGTCAAGGTTATTAAAATATAAGCTTGTCTCGTAACTCGATCCGCCATTATCGGAAACGTTATCAATTACGTCACAGGTATCCGGCCGATCATAGATAAAGGGATAAGAACTGCCGATAGTTCGACAGTGCATTTCCGAATTGATATTCATTGTGTATGGCGTCAATAGTTTTCGGTTGTTTGATGTTTGTTTTCTTTATTACATTAATTACATTGCCCATTTATCTGTTCTTGTCCGTTGCATTTTATTTTTTATTCCTTTATCTTGATTTTATACGTTCTGGAGCATACTTGTGACGTAGTTGGCGCCTCGCTCCTATTGGTCCAGAAGTTACAACAACCTGTTTAATATAGTAATCTTGATTTATTGTATCCTGAATATTACATAGGAGCATGAAATTAATGTAAGGTTGTGTTTTTTTTAATTTAGATGTTTACAGTGGCGTTCAGTGCAAATTAAAGCAGGGTAGGCAAAAACTGGCAAAATAATGAAAGCTATGAGTTGCATAATAGAATAATATAATGTAAAATATATCTTAGATAATCTCTAGAATAATAATAAGATGAAAAATAATTATTGCGAATATATATAAGTACCTATTAATAAAATACATTTACCATTTATTTAGTTGGTTACAGTTAATGGTCCATTTAATAAAATAAATTGCTTTATTTTTTTATAGTTTTTAGTGACAAAAATGATCAAAAGCTATTGAAATTTTATAACTTTTAATTGTGGTTAATTGTTGTTTTTAATTCATGGTTCAATCAGTTTGATATGGAAGCTGCAATTATCTTAGTTATTAACAATGCGTTAAAAAATATAAAAATAAATAGAATAAATTAAAATTCCCAAAAAAGTGCATGTTCTTTGCAATAAGCATCAATTATATTCGTTAATATACATACTAAGGGCTGGCAAAGGTTAGTCTTGGGTCGAGATTTCCGTATGTAAGAAGAGTACAATGCGTTTATAATGTACTGAACAAAGAGAGAACAGTAAACACGTTGCCAAACGTATGAAATAAATCGAGAAACTGTGCTGTGCACATTGCTAAGAGACGTGGAAGGGGATATAGCAGATTTGTCGCAGTTGACCGGTGGATCTAATCAGTACCTGTGTCAGTACTTAAGTTCTAGAGAAAGGTGTACATCATGCGTTCAGCTTCGCGATTTAATTACGTCTCGTGATACTTTATTTGTTTATTTATTAACGAATTGTTGTAATTTTCCCTAGAGCTTGAAAAATTTTAAGTGCAAGCAAGAAACACTTGCATTTTTGGTAAAAATAAGTGAAATTGAGTTGGTTTTCGACAGTGGTCGGGCTATTAGAACTCTGAATTCAAAAATCGATATCTCAAAATCTGTTAAAAATAATTGATTGTAGTTTTTTCAAAAACTTTCTTAATATTTCTGCTGTATTTTCTTCGTAAACAGTAAGTGAAAATCTTTATCAATAAAAAAATTACACGATCGCTAAAAATTGCTATGCTCTAAGGCCTCTTTTATGCACGCGTTTTTTGTCGCTTGTCGCAGGGCGACAAAAAGCGCGGCGTTTTTTATGACACAAGGTTCCAAGCGTTTCTAGTCGCGTGCCGCTTTCAAATATGATCAGTTGCAAGTGGACCACACAACGGCAGTTATTAAAAATGAATCCGTGCGTTATTATGTATTTTATATACAAAAATTTCATTGAAAAAAGACGACAGAGACGTTGGTATGTGCATCCAATTAATAGTGCAAGACGTCTAGAGGCGCATATTATACGCTGCATGAAGAATTAAGACTCGACAGGGAGAAACTTTTCTTTTTCAGTTTTTTTTACTGAATTCGGGAATAATGATGTCGGTAATTTCCTTCCATGCATCTCTTTTCAATTGCCTATTTTTGTAATCTTCTGATGATGAATCCCACAAATATGGATTTTCTTTTACTGCGTCAATAAAAAATTCAACGTCCAGATTTTCCATCGTACTTCTTCACACATCAACACAAGTCTGCAAACTGACTGAGCAAAATAAACACTACAAATATTTGGCGGCAGCGATAATAAACGCACTACATAAAAGCACCAATTGAAATCAACGTACTTCTGAAACGCCTGTCACGACGCGTTTTGTAATTCCACGCGACAGGATTTTAGTACGCCGCGACACAGGCGGCGAGCGGCTCATTGACGTCGATGCATAAAAGCGTACATTTAACAACGTGCCTTTAGAAAACGTCGCCTTTTTTGTCGCCCCGCGACGAGCGACAAAAATCGCGTGCATAAAAGAGGCCTAAAAGTAAATGGATGGGTTGTTTACAATTTTTGAATGAAAAAAAAAACAACCTTATCGAATTTTTCTTATGTAAACATATTGTAAAAGATCCTATCTTCAAAATAAAAAAAAGTTTCAATATCTAAAGTGTTTCTTTAGTTATTCGTGTTAAAAAGTTGAGTTTTTAAATTATCGCGATTGTTTTCGCGCTGACGTTTTCTCATTATAAAAAAAATGTCACCCTAAAGATTAAGACGATTTAATGACACCCTAAGATTTCAGATGCTCAGAAACATTTCTAATGATTTTATTTAGAAAAAAAAACTCTTTTAAAAATAAGCGGTTTGCGATCGTGATTTACTTTACTCGATAGGGAAAGGCGTGCCGGCAACACCGCAACAGCACTCCGTCGCATTTCTCTCACTCCGACTTAATAAGATCCCTATGCGATTTACTTCCACACATGTAAATACCGACCCAAGAGTAACAGTTGCCAGCATGGTATATAATTTGCATTTATAAGCCAAATTAAAACGTGTTTCAAAAATAACTTACTAGTTGGTTCAGCTTCTTCTGCAAATATTAATAATATATTAAAAATAGTTAGATAATATATCAGAAATATGTTTTTAAATTATATTAAAATCTTTAAAAAATGTTGAAAGCAAAAACATTTTTTGTTCTTTTATCTTTTAAATTTAGAATATTTTATTATGAAAATATTTATTTTTCAATTATATTATTTACTTACTTATGGCTTTTAATCTAGCCTCTGAGCTGCTCTCTCCCAATTCGTTTTTAGCTATTACTTTATAGTAGCCTTCATCAGCCAGTTTCACATTGTGGAAAATCAATTTATAAGTGTCTTTGGCTCTATCCTCGACAATAGAAATTAGATCGCTAGCTTTGATAACTTTATCATCTTTTGTCCATAGCACCTGGGCTTCAGGATTAGCTTCAACCACAACAGTGAACTCCGTAGCTTCTCCTGGAACCACTTTAACGTCTTCTGGGCCTTCAATTTCTGGTCTAAGCACGATGGTTAGCTGAGCGCTGTCTTCTAATTCACCCCACTTATTTTTGGCTTGAATCGTGTATTTTCCTTGGTTTGAACGTTCACCTATATTTTCAAAATACTTATTAATGCATACTAGGTGAGGAAATGAGAGTACTTACATCTAGGTATAGTCAAAGAGTAAGTACATTCTTTTAACCCGTCTTCAATGTCATGATCTTCATTTTCTAAAATGATCTTGTTCTTTTCAAAATCAGCATTGGATATAGGTTTTCCGTCTTTTAACCTACATGTATAATTATCAAAGAATTATAAAATAAATATATTAAATAAATATTTATACCGGGTGGTGCATCGTCGTTGGAAGCATAGCAAATCCCATGCAAATTTTGATGTGTCTAAATATTGGTTCCCCTGTTAATTTTACAGCAAAGTCGTAAATAAGTTTTTTAAAGGTATATATTTTTAAGCGTATGCTGAATACACGTGCCAAATTTGAACGATTTTTGGACATGCCGATTTTAATTAATTAAAAAAAACTTCATCTATTTTTAAATTAAAACTGAACAGGTAAGAATGCAAAATCAGGCAAATATCAACATATCTTGTCGCCCTATGGTTTTATCATAGGTAACTGAAATTCTACATTACCTACGGTTAGTGTCTCCGAAATGCATATTTTGTATTTAAAACATTTTCCGAATTAGGTAAAGGCCCTACAAAATAGAAAATACAATTTGAAATTCACAAAATCAGGTTGACAACTTAAGGTATGTTGGCAAGTTGCTTTGTTGGCTGTTCAGTTTCAATTTAAAAATAGATGCATGTTTTGCTTAAATTAGTTAAAATCGGCTTGTTGAAAATTGTCCAAATTTCTTTTTTTCAAAATGTCCTTATTTACGGCTTCGCTGTAAAAGCAAGAGTGGAGCCAATATTTGGACAGTTCAAAATTTGCAAGCGATTTCCTATGTTTGCAACGACACGCGACTATGCACACCCGGTATATAAATATAAATATAATGAAAAATACTTATTTTAATCATATTGATATTTATTTAATTATTAAAAAGATCAAAAATATATGTATAATAATTATATTATTAAGATTGATTAACGTTGTTGGCTAAATATTATAAACTCATAATTTTCAAACTACATTTTGAGTTTTGTTGAAATTTTAACAAGAACAGTTAATTATACATTTTAAAATCTAAAGCAATTTAATAATGCACATGTGTAAAAAAAATGATATATTACTTTTAATAACTCTTAAAACATTATTAATATTATTTTGCCTTAAAAATGCTTTATTTCCAATTTTGATATGAGCGGTGAGCAAATATACCAAGTATATTTACATATTATTCAAAAATAAAAACATCTTTTATAATAAAAAAACAACGGTTTCTTGTAGACGTATCTATTTAAAAAAACTAAAGTATTCTCATAATAGTTTTAGAATTTAAATATCCTAAATAGTTTTTTTTATTCTTTGTTTTTTTTAAGTTAAGCATTTTTTTCTTTGTTAGGCAAATTTGTATAACTGTAAACATAACTTCTGACAAGCAGTATTTTCTTGCAGTGCAGTGACGAAATACCCATAAAGGATTTTTTTGGAGAGACGAATCCGCCACATAGGTATAGACATTTTTTATCTTTTATAATGTCATAAATTCATACTCGGGTTTCTTATATTATTAACACGTTATAAAGAAACACGTTTAATTTTAGTTAAGATTGTTCTTACCATGTAACTTCAGGTATAGGGTCTCCAATAATAACAGCCTTGAATGTAACCCCATTCTTTTTTACTATTCTTTGATCTTTTAAACCTTCCTTCAGTTTGGGACGGCGCAATTCTCTTTCAGCTAAAATAATTATAAATAACAAAATATTTACGATAGGTTTTATGTATAGTCTGTCTATGCGTTTTATGTATAGTCGTCGTTTGCATTTTCTGTTGGTTAATTAAAAAATAACGCGTTCGTCTCAAGTAGCTCACCCCTATAATTTTTTTATTTTTCAGATAAAACAACGAGATATGATATGTTAGTATACGACATAAATCAGGATTGATTGATATATTCAACTGTTTTCGGACACTTCCTGTTTCACCGGAAATAACTACAACTTTTGATTTTTAAATGGCATTCTCGATATTTTTTTATTTTATTAGATAGAAAATGACACTCTGAATAGAATGACATATCATATGTGAATTTTGACATTTTCGCATATGGTTATTTTGAAATTGTAACATGCGGTTCATAACGACAATTTGACTCGAAATACCAAGTGTGTGGTGTCAAATTATTCGTAAAATAATGCTTTTTCCAAATATGATAATGAGCCACCCTCGTTCCGTTTGAAAAAATTGAGATATGATTAAAAATACGATTTGGGCATCTTATAACCCGCCAGGACAAGACACTAAAAACATTAGACGATCAAATCTATTTTTCTAAGGCTCCTGGATTAAAAATTAGTGTTTTTAACACAGCCATGGCACTCTAGATTGAAATTTAAAATACAATTTGTTTTTTAGCGAATACCTCAAAAGTTGACATATGATATGTCATTCGATTCAGAGTGTCATGTTCTATCGAATAAAGTAAAAAATTCCGAAGGTGCCATTTAAAAATCAAAAGTTGTAGTCATTTCCGGTGAAACAGGAAGTGACCGAAAACAATTGAATACGTCAATCAATCCTAATTTGTGTCATATACTAACATACCAAATCTGTTTTTTTTTATCTGAAAAAATAAAAAAGTTATAGGGGTGAACCACTTTGGAGACGCACCCGGTATATATCATAACGTGACTGCTATTACCCAATATTACAATGGAAAATAAAATATAAATAAAATGGAATTATAATCCAAATCAGATTTGAATATGATGCTTGATTTGATATAACTTTTTAAATATTTTTTACAACGCGTAATTTTCTTTAAATTATGGCATTAAGGACTTTACATTCATCAAATGCATTAAGGGCTAACCTAATCCTTTTTTTTTTGTTAACTTAAAAGTTTGATTTTTTTACAGCTTCAAGAGAATGTAGACCTGAGTATATGGTTTTAATTTCAATTCGGCCCTATAGGCTTGGTGCATTCTCCGCCGGTGCTGCCACCATCGGAAAATATCGTAAAAAACTAGCATCTACAAATAAGCACACGGGTTTAAATAGCGAGTAGGTATACGAAAAATGTATTAATTAATTATTTTAAAAGTGTTAGGAAGTATAATTTGTGAAAATTCTAAAAATAAAAATAAAAAAGTAAATATTTTGATATCTTCAGAAGGTCTAACTTGTATTATAATTTATTATTCCAGTTAAAAAAACTTTTTAGATGGGTTCAACTACGGTAGCGAGCATAGTTTTAATCACCGGTTTTGCTAGTGGGCCATAGGTAATTGGGGCTATTTCGGCAAAACGAAATTTTTTAAACGTACGTAATTATAATTTTAGAAGATATTCATAAAACGTTTAATCACTAGTTTATTAAAAAAACTATACCATTAATATTGCAAATTATACTTTATCCTCTCATAGTATAATTATGTCTCTTTAATTTTTTGAACGGGCACTTTGTTTATTCACTTGTTTCGTCGAACTGCTTGAATCCAATTTTGCTATTGATCAAATCGGTGTGAGAAACTATGAAGCTATAAAATAGTTGAATATCCGGGAAATTTGAGTTATTGAATGTTATTGCACCTAACAACGCCTTCATTGCGCTCTCCTTTACGCGTTATCATTTTTTCGGCAATTTTATTAACATTTGAAATTGTCACAACACAACACGACGCCTAGTGCGAATTGTTAGTGAAAACTTATTTTTTACTACCCGAAACAGCGTTACATTGCACAAACCTGGTACCTGAGTCTTTTATAGTTTCAATAACTGTACTAGCAAAAAACTAAAATACTTAAATATTATGACAAAAACACGATTTCATTATTATGTTAATGCGATAAACACGACGGCGCGGCGCGGCGGCGCCGGCGTGAACTATATAATGATAATTTCAGATTTTTGCCGTTAGACGCTGCGGTCGGAATTTGTTGAAATCAACTGAAATGCACCAAGCATATAAGGATTCTGTTTCTCCCTTTTGAGGTACGACACCCTAAAAATCATGTATAATAGAAGAAAACTTACGTGTAACTTCTAACACCGCTTGTTGTTTCACAGTGCCCACAGGATTGGTTAATATACATTCGTAAACTCCGGCATCTTTTAATTCTAGCTTCGTTATTTCTAACTTGAATTCTTCGCCGTTTTGACTGGACGTCATTCTGAGATGGGCATCAGGTTTGATCTCTTTTCCGTTAAGTGTCCACGTAGCTGTGGGTGGAGGGTTGGCAAATCCTCTTACAATGTACGTGATATCCAAAGATTCTGGCCTTGAACCGTCTTTCATATTGGTGTCCAGGATTATGGGTTCGGCTGACAATAAAACGCTAAATTAGTAAAATATATAAACATGTAGGTAACATCACCAAATTAAATTATATACAGGGTGATCGATTAAAGTCGGAGATCGTCTTTATTGTCGAAAAAAGGTTTTTATAAATGTTACATCGTTTATCCTAAAAATATCTTGTTGTATAAGGGTGTCTCAAAAATAGTAATAATTGGACTTTCTCGCACTAGTGGACCACCCTGTATGTACGATTTTCCTGGATGAGCCCGCTTTGGGAGTTTATATACTATAAGTGATACCAATTAAACTTTTAGTTACGTAATCGAAAGCGCAATTTTTACATTCATTGTTGCCAACCACGGACATATTCGGCGCCGGGCTGAATAACTGTAATTGAAATTTCCCGTTGGCGATTCAGGTGGTAGCTCTGCCGTAAAAAATGTCAAGTTGCCGTATTTATTTATTTATTTCCTGACATTGTCATTCGTTTTGACACTTTAATTTCGTATTACGACTTTTTGGTTTAAATGAATTGTGTTGATACTTTAAGCTTGAAAATTGTACTAGCAGACCTTGCAAAAACCTGTTTGTAAAAACCTGTTTTAGTGCGAAGTGTACGAGATAGCTTAATAGCCGTTGTAAAAAACTCATCGCAACCTTATTAGAATATTTTGAACAGAGAAGCGGTAGTAATTGCCCTTTATTATTTTATTATTTATTTTTCATTTATTTTTGTTTCCAAAAAATATTTTGATTAAAAAAATACATAAAGGTGGGCAACGTTGTGCCGGTCAAACTTAATCACGTGACTAAAAGTTTATTTGGTATGATCTATAAAAGAAAAATATGTAGTGAAATATGTAATTGAGAATTTTTTGCACATAAATATTTTAGAGAATTGAATTTGAGACTAGTTTAGTTTTAAAAAATATTTGCTTATAATTAATTTTAAGATTTATCCATTTTGCATTTTTTTAAATATACAGGGTGTCAAAAAAATAGTGATCTAACTTGATTGTACGGATCAAAATAGAACAAAAGTTACTACGAACATATGCCTTAAAATGCTTCCCGAGGAAGTTACAGAGCTCGAAAGAAAGTATGAATAAAAATAATATATTTTGTTTCTTGTTAACATTATTTGTAAACCGTCTTTCTTGAAATTTGATATTCTTACAGACATTTTAATGCCAAAGCGAATCGCTATAGTGTAAAATTCCGTAACAACCCTGAGAGGGGCTCTTCGTTTAGTTCGAAACGGTGAACGGTTTTCAAGATATTTGTGTTTAAAGATTCCGATGCATCGATTTTAGTATGAGCGAAATCATGATATTAATAAATTTATAATTTCTATACATTTTATTTTTTTGGCGTATAAATGACTATTAGTTTTTTACGCCATTTGTTGAAATTATTGTATCTATAAGGAGAAAAGAAGTACAACCAGTAGTACTATCTACATTCAATGGAAAGTGCCTTTTCAGGGCTGTTATGGAATTTTTCACCATCACAATTTGCTTTGGCATTAAAATATGTGTTGAGTACTATGTTTCAAGACTTTTTTTTACTATGTTTTAAAATTAAACAAAATATATTATTTTTATTTACCCTTTCGAGGGTTGTAACTTTTTCGGGAATCAATTTAGGGCATATGTTCATAGGAACTATTTGTCTTATTTTGATCTGTAGAATCAACCACCGAAAAATACACTATTTTTTGATACCCTGTATATAAAATTGATATTATGATACCTCTTTATATATTAATGAATTAACTGAGTAAAACCAATTCATTTTCAGTAATATAACTACTAATTATACCAGTATAAAAATTGCTTTTGGCTTACAGTCTTTGGTGATGTTATCTAAAAAAACTATGCGTGTTAAAATATTGGTGAATGTTTCTCATATCTGCAGCTATATAGTGTATGTTAAAGTGTTATATTTTTTATTGTGCATGTGTTGTAAGTGCTGAGAACTTACCTGTTTGTCACAACGATTATCTAAACTTACCTGAACAGTTAGAATCAGCTAAGCGTACTTGTTAAAGCTTTACATAAAAATGGTCAAAATGTGCATAACAAAAAATAACATAAGTGGTTTGTTTTAGTGGAGAGCATTCTGGAGAGGAGCGTTTAAGTACCTTCTGGTTTGCTTTTAGCCTTTTGACTGTCCTGTCTGTCAAGTACGTCGGTTTTTTGTTTTTTGGAAGCATATTCGTTTTGGTCTTGCTCTATAATGGTAGATTCTTCTACAGACGCTTTTTGGGCTTTATTTTTCTTAGGCTCTTTATTATCATTTTGAATCTCGTATTTTGTAATTGTTTCTTCAACGTCAGCTTCATCTTTCGTTTGTTGTAGAGGCTTTTTCGGAACTTTAACGCTGGCCTTTGTCTCAGTAGTTTCGGGCAAATTAGCTTCGGGTTTTTCTTCAATTACCTCAATGCTTTCTTTTCTGGCAGATTTTCCTTTCTTGAATGGAACTTGGACGTTCTCCACTTCAGGAGATTTTGGTATATTGCTCTCGGGTTGTTCGACTTCTTCAATTTCTTCGATTTCTACAGTTCTAGCTCGACTAGACTTTCTTTTGGGCACGTCTTCAGTTGTAGGGGTTTTAGGTTTATGCGTTTCGTCGACATCATCAAAGTGTTCGGCTTCTTCAATAATGGCAAATGTACCCCTCTTTTTCTGTAACTCCGGCGAAGCTGGTTCTTCGATAACTGGTTCCGGGCTTTTTTGGATTTTAGCCTGCTTTGTCTCAATTTCTCCTTTCTCGGCTAGTTTACCTATTTTTTAATTGAGTGAATGACTGGTATAAAATATTAATGAACGAAACAGTAGATTGTAGATATCATTTTCAGTAAAGAGGAACACAGATGATAACATATAATAGACATTGAAAAATCTAATGCTAAAAATAGCCACTCTAAGCGCACACATAGCACCTTAAAGCTTTTTCTGTTTGTTTAAGGAGGTAATTACATTTGAAAAACATGGAAACAAAAATGAATGTGTTATACCTTGCTTGGGAGATGCTGCTTCTTTAGGTTCCTCAACTTTAGGCGTCTGCGGCGATTCAGGTCGCTTCTCTTCAATTTCATCCTTTTCTGCTTCTTGAGCGACTTGAGGTTCTTCTATTATTTCCTCAATTTTAACTGCCTTTGGTGGTGGTTCAAATTCTTCTACAGCGTCAGTATGTGTTACCTCTGTAATTGTTAGTAGATAACGACACCACATAAGGGAAAAATTTAATGGTAAGACACATGTACCACTTATAAGACACATTTTGAAAAATCTACGGGGGACAGTCATGCCACCAAATTATACTTACCTATACCTTAAAAGTGTTATGTGTAATTCTTTGTAAATCTATTGTTTTTGTTGATTTAAAGTTTGTATCTGTTAAAAAAAACTTACTGTGCACAGTGACAAAGCTTTTACTGCTAACAGTTCCCAAAGAGTTCGTCACGATGACTTCATATTCTCCTTGTTCTTCATATTTGATTAAGTCAACAGCTAAATGTAAAGTTTCATATCGTTTTTTATCTCTAGTTATCTTAATGCGAGCGTCAGTGGAGACTTCTCTTCCATTTCTCAACCATTTTACTGTAGGAGGAGGACAGGCGTCTACTTCAACTTCAAGATGGAGTTCGGCGCCTTCCTCTACGATGGTGTCCTCAAGTTGCTTAACAAATCTTGGAGCACCTACATTAGACAAATTATTAATTTATTGGTTCCCTAACTAAGAATATTTCAATATTTTGAACGTTATTCGAAGTATACAGTATACTTACAATTAACTGTTAACTTTGCACTCGTTTCTGCAACACCCAATTCGTTACTTAACTTGCAAGTATATTGACCTGACAGTTCACTAGTTACTTCTTTGATGACAAGTTTCACACCATCATCTGATTCAATTCTGGTGAATTCGCCTCTTGTTTCTTTAATCTCAACTTCATCCAAATACCTACACGGTAAAATAATGTGTGAATATTAATAGAAGGGGCTTTATTGTGAAAAGTCATTTCGAACATTTTGAAAATTATAAGTCATAAATATTAAAATAAAATAAATGTTTTCCTGCACATATCTAATGTAAAACTATACAATTATCCATAAAATAGTTTTTCGGGGTTATTATTGAATTTTTAATTGAACTCAAATATTTTAAATTGTTTCTTACTTTATATTTCCCAATATCAAGGTGGGAATATATTCTTTGAAACGTTAAATGCTTTTTGATGGTTAAGTCTGATTTTCGCAGTTAAATCGAACACTTTTGGAGTCTCGTCATAACAAAATCACATTGGGCTAGGTCAAAGAACAACCACAATGTAATGACAACAAAAAGCTGAGAGACTGGCTAAGAAAGTAGCATGTCTAAATATTTTTGGACCTATCCACGCAAGTTATTGTCTATCGCAAAGATGTTAGATAAAATTAAAATGCATAAGAGGTGAAGTTTTTTTGAATGACTCTCATTTCATAGAACATATTTTCAACTTAGAAAAAATCGTGGGTGTTTGGGAAGGTTCGAAAGGAAACAATTATGTTTTTTGCGACGTTTCGCGACTTTATTGTCGCCTCTTCAGGCACAGAGTACGACATAAACCTAGCATCGGTGTGCTTCGGGCAAAAAATACCCCAAGTATCTGTTCGTTCGTCTGTATGTGTCTTATAGTGTTCGCGGTTTTTTTGCCATGAATGTTTGTAGGCATTTGAATGAATATATGTTTTAGTGCCTGAAGAAGCGACAATAAAGTCGCCAAACGTCGCAAAAAACATATTTGTTTCCTTTCGAACCTTCCCGAATATCCACGATTTTTTCTACGTACTAACTAACTACTGGGAATTAACAATAATCATAATATATTTTCAACTCTATGGACATCTGCGCAAATTGATGCTAAGTGATACACCAGTCTGCAGGAAATGTTCTTTAGATATATAAAGCATCTACAGTTATAACTGCAGATTTTTTGAATAGCATATCTTCCATAGATCACATATTTGGTAGTTAGGATTCAGTAAGGAGTTTTCAGTAGAGGAGTTTAGTAAAGAGCCATTAAATAATTTTACTCAATCAATTCTAAATCCAGTGGATTTTTACAGAAACCGAATTTTTGATGTTTGTTTTGTTTCTGTAGCAACATTCCCGAAAGACTGTGAAAATGTGTTTACCACAAAGATTAGATATTATAAGTTTCGACTTCGACGTATGTGAATTCTTACCATTTAACTGCTGGCGGAGGAAAAGCTTCCATTTTGACATCCAGAGTAACATTTTTGTCGCGCTCTGTAACTGTCATATCCTGAAGGCCTTTGATAATTTTAGGCGGTTTCTTAACGAAGACTGTACTTTCTGCCTCGCCAGTACCATGGATATTGAGAGCCTTAAACTTGTATTTTGCAGCATCGGTAGTAACAGCTCCTGTAATTCTCAACATGTATACGTCACCGTCTTCTTTGATGACGTAATGTTCGCTAGCTTGAACTTCTTCCTCGTCTTTGTACCACTTGATTTGGGGTTTTGGTTCAGCTTCAATTTTGACTTTCAATTCGAGATTTTGTCCTTGAGAAACTATTTTTTCTGCTTCGAGTTTTTGCACGATTTTCGGTTTGCTGTAGACATCCAGTTTCCAGAATTGGGATACTTGTGCCAATTCGTTAGTGGCCACCACAGAATAAGAACCTTAAAAATCATAAAAATTACAATCATAATAGAAGCAGTAGGTATATTAGTTTTTTACTATCTACTATTTCAAATACAAAGTTAATTGTTTTGGGATAAGTATATATTTCAATGGATATATTCTCTTTATTTTTTTACTCCCTAGGATTTAAACTGATTTAATCGAATGTGCAATAGCCTATACCGGGTACGTCTTAAAAGTGGCTCACCCCTGTAACTTTTTTTATTTTTTCATATAAAAAAACGAGATTTGATGTGACATAAATTAGGATTAATTAACGTATTCAATTGTTTTTGGTCGCTTCCTGTTTCACAGGAAATGACTACTTTTGATTTTTAAATGGCACCCTCGGTATGTTTCTACTTTATTCGATAGGAAATGATACTCTGAATAGAACGACATATCATATGTTAACTTTTGACATTTTTGCATAGTTTATTTCAAATTGTAACATGCGGTGCATAATGACAATTTGACTCGAAATCCCAAGTGTATGGTACCAAATTATTCGTAAAAATGTTTTTTCCAAATATGTTAATGAGCCACCCTTGTTCCAGTTCAAAAAATTGGTATATGATTAAAAATACGATTTGAGCATCTTTTAACCGGGCAGGACAAGACACGAAAAACATTAGACGTTAATTAGTTAGTGTTTTTAGCACAGCCATAGCACTCTAGATTGAAATTTAAGATACGAGTTTTTTATAAGCGAAAATTTAAAAAGTTGACATATGATATGTCATTCTACGCAGAGTGTCATTTTCTATCGAATAAAGTAGAAATATACCGAGGGTGCTACTTAAAAATAAGAAGTTGTAGTCATTTCCGGTGAAACAGGAAGTGACCAAAAACAATTGAATACGTCAATCAATCCTAATTTATGTCATATACTAACATAACAAATATCGTTTTTTTATCTGGAAAAATAAAGAAAAAATATAGGGGTGAGCTACTTTCGAGGCGCACCCGGTATTTTTATGGCTTTTCGATTCTAAATTTAGCAGCGTTTCTAAGTTGGAATTTTAGCGTACATAGAGTGTCGTGGAGACTATTGAAATGATTGTATTGTCGTTTTGTTGGGGAAACTCAATGTGCGTACAAAGTTTCATAAGAACAGATTTAGAGAAATAGTTGAAAATGGTTTGTAAATTGCTAAACATACCAACACTTACATAAGAACATTGCAAATTAAATGGAAAATGTAAAAAAATGTTTTACCTGAATCAGAGAGAGCCGATTTTTCAATCACTATACTATGCTTTTCACCTTCCTTGACTATTTTGACTCTCTGACTATCCTTCATTTCTTTACCATCTTTGTAAAACTGAACTTTGGGTTCTGGAATACCTTCCACCTCAACTGTCATCTTAAGCAGAGAATCAGCATGAATAGATACATCCTCCATTTTCGATTTAATTTTTGGTGGAGCTACAAAGATATATTTATTTAGATCGAGAAATTCCATTTGATACACCAATTGTTAACGGAGAAATGAAAATTATTGGATATGTGTTAATCATTGCAAGAGAATCGTAAGATATACATGAACCATTTCACAATTTCTTTGCCTAATATTATTTGGAGAGTCCAGGTGAAAACCAGGATAAGCGGCAATTTTTTAATTTTAGGGTTTTACAATATTATAGTAAGTTTAACTGGTCCTCACAAAGTGTATAAACTCTGCAGGGTAATAAGGCTCTTAAATCCTATGATATATGCCTAGTAAAAATATATATACAGTGGCAGAACTTGATAACAACCAGCCGTACAGGGAGGGCTCTCCTGTAAAATTAGTAGAATAGCGCTTATCATGCTTTCATGCTGAACCCTTCATTTTATTTTATTCTAGCCATATGAATTCCACATCATTTGGGTGTCTTTCATTGATGACAATGATTGACTGAAATGATGAACAGCATTAGTAAAACTTCATTAATTGTGTTTTACAATCAGATTTGTTTTTCCATGAAAATCTTAAGAAGTAAATTTGTAATTTAAAAAAAATACACATAAGTGTCATTGATAAAAATTAATAGTGTTATGTATTTGATTTTTAACAACTTTGATTAGGCTAAGTCATTGTGAGAGGATCAAGTAGAGTGCAAGTGCAACCACATAATAAAGTGTGTCGTAAGTATCAAGGATGAAAGATAAATGTAGTTTTGTGTTTTTACCCCTTAATTTTACAGTGCGAGTTTCTTTTTCAAAGTATTCTTCTGTATAAAAAATACGCTTGGCTGAAAAAGTGTATGTGTTAACTATGGATTTATTATAATATGGACTATACAGAGTTACCACTGTTGCAAAAAATGTATATATTTGGTTTTATATGAAAAACTTGTACTCCTAATTCTATTCCTAATCCGTATTAACTAATTTTTTAGTTTTAAAGTGATCATTTTTAGACCAAGCTCAAGGCACCTTTGGTCTTAATCTGGGAGTTAACACGTAGTCTTGGTCTTAGGCTTGCTCAAGACTCTGGCAAGTCTTGCATTTTTCAATAGATTTTTGCTAGATGCACTTTTTACATAGAAATTCCTTAAATAAATCGTATTTTTAGTAATTTAATGCAAATACATCTTTAAAGAAGCAAATTATTAAAATATTTTTCTGGCTAAAATTTCTATTTTTTATATTATTATATTGACTCAGCATTTCATTCTTTAAAATTTTATGTAAAGCTTCATTCAGAACCTCGCAATTAGTGGAATAAATTAGTGGTTCCAATTAGCGTATAAATTTGTTCCTTTAATTTTAATGTAAGCATTAAGAATTTCAAAATTAGTGGTAATAATTTTCAATTAAGCTTCATTCAGAACCTCGCAATTAGTGGTTTCAATTAGAGTACAAGTTTGTTCCTTTAATTTCAATATAAGAATTCAGAACGTCAAAATTAGTAGTAGTCATTTTCAATTAGTAGAAAAAGTTATCAAAACTTTTAACTTTTCCACTAATTAGTGTACTTCAAAATTTGCGGGAAATGACATTTTGGCCTTTGGAAATCAAAAGTTTATTGTTTTACATACATACATACATACATTTTACGTTTATTGTTTTATAAGCTAAATATTAGGCTTTCTCTATGGATACAACTGATAACCGCAAGCTGTTGCTAGGATTTGATTATGTTGGATAGGATTATTTTAGACATTGTGAATGATCGTAAACTAAAAAGTATAAAATGTAATTGAAAAAAATAATTTATTCTACTAATTGCGAGGTTCTGAATGAAGCTTAATAGTTTGGAAAACAGTCTTTGCAATAAATTAAAACAGTAATTTTGGAATAAATAAGCAATTTTTTATATCATATAAACGTGAAATCTCGCACTGGTCGCCGGTCGGTCTTGTGTTGGTCTTGGTCTTGCAGATTGAACGCTAGAGTTGGTTTTGCTCTTGGTCTTGCTTTTGTGCAAAGCCAAGACACACCCTGCAGATCAGATCTAATTTATCTTGTGAAAAGTTAATGTAGATAGTGTGAAAAGTAACTTTTAATGACAGAAACATACTAATAAAAAAAGAAAAACGAGTCATGAGTTTAATATTCAAAAAACAGAGAATTGGTGCTTAACGATACATAATCATAAAGCGTAACAAAAGGATTCAGAAACTTGATAATAATTGTGCTCATATGTGATTTTTGATTAGGTTATATATACAGGGTGGCGCCTCTCATACGCCGCGGAGGCTCCAAGGAGAACGACAGTTTGTATTGAAATGTAATTTTGTGAGCATATTAGTTGATTCAGAGCACTTTTTAAAAATATAGAGAGTTCTACAGGGTGTCCCCAAAAAAAATTAAATATCAAAGTTTTGTTTTTTGTAATGGAACACTCTATATATTAATTGATTTTAGGATTCTGGGAGAAAAATAAAGGTGAGTTTTATAAGAGAAGTATATGACTAAAATGTAAGGTTTTTGACATATTTAACATTTTCTAGAAATAAAGAACAATTTTTAAATTTCAATAAAAGCTACCTAAACTGGAATTTACCCGGTATAGCCTAATATGTAGTTAAATTAACTATTGTGCTTTAAATCAAATTAGAACTTTATCCAAAAAGTTATACAGGGTGAGACAAAATTAATATTGAACATTAATCACCTTTAAAAGCATGTTACTCTCTTATTTTAAATGGAACACCCAGTATATTATTTCGATATTCAATGGAGAATTCATGTCTCTTCAAAATACTATTAAGGTTGCCTACCCCTAAAACAAAGATTTTCCTAGATATTTTCATTTTCATGATTTGACCTGAGTAGATCTTTATTATTTGGTAAAATCTAGGTGGCTGTGATATATCTGACGTTACTTCAACATAGCTGTCCAATTAGTTCAACTTTAACAACTAGTTATCATTTTATGTCAGTTAAAACACAAAAAATTTCTGAGAAATTTGCCGAAAATGCAAATTTATCCTACATCAGAGAGAATTGATATGATTCTATTAGTTGGTGAATGCACACTGCATTCACCAATTAATAGAATACTTAAATGCTCCTGATTTTATCTAGTATGGGTTTTTATGGCGATATGTTAAAGACAGTGTTTACAAAATTCGACCAACTAGTGTCGACAACATGAGAGAAATTATTGTAGCTGCTTTTCGAAGTAGAACTCCACATATGCTTTTTAAAATGGAAAGATCCTTTTGAAAAGATAATCATTTTATGCAGTTAACAAGAAAGGAAGCATTTTGAGCATTTAATTTCATCTAGCTAATTTTTGTCGCATAATTATAGGTTTATATCTAGTTTTAATTCTGTAATAATTAAAATATGTTTTAAACGTGTATCGTTTTATTATCCTTGAGTATTTTACTCTACAAATCTTTTATTTTTGTTAAATTAACAAAAGGTATATCACACAGCCACCTAGATTTTTTCAAATAATAAAGATTTACTGACGCAAAATCATAAAAATTAAAATATCTGGGAAAATCTATGTCTGAGGTGTAGGCAACCTTAATAATATTTTGAAGATATACAAATTCCCTATTGAACACCGGAAAATATACTAGGTGTTCCATTTAAAATAAAGGAGTAACTTGCTTTTAAAGGTGACTAATATTCCATATTTTGTCTCACCCTGTATAACTTTTCGGGTCAAATTTCAATTTGGTTTAACATACAATGGTTACTGTAATTAAATATCAGTCTATACAAGGTCAACTAAAATTTAGGTAGCTGTTATCGAAATTTAAAATTTACTCTTCATTTTCACAAAATGTGAAATATGTCAAAATCTTTAGATTTTTGGTATATGCTTCTTTAATAAAACTCACCTTTATTTTTTTCCTAGAATCCGAAAATCAATTAATATATAGGGTGTTCCATTAGAAAAAACACAACTTTGATGTGTAATTTTTTTTGGTGACACCCTATATAATTCTATATATTTTATAAAATGCTTTCAGTCAACCTACATATGCTGCCAAAATTTCATTTCGATATAAACTACCGTTATCCTTGGAGCTTCCGCGGCGTATGAGAGGCGCCACCCTGTATACCAAATATATTATACCCTATTTTTGTATGACTAGTTTTGAAAAGACCGCTATAAAGAACTTCTACTTAAAAAGCGCAAGTAGCAATTTTAAGCTAAAAATTCATATAAAAAAAATCATATAAAGTACATTAATAGGAAGTGAAAGGCAAATATACTATGTAAAAATTATATTGCATTGAATTTAAAAATCTGCAACTTTAGTTTGGCCCACTATGCATATATTTTAAAAGAAGAAAGTTAAAATCTCGAACAGGAAAACTTATATATAAATTTTTTGGAACAGCTAGTTACCCTGCATTAAATTATTTTTAGAGTATTTTAAAATTTACCTTTTACTGTTAATTTCATTTCAGCTGTATCCGATCCCAGTTCATTTTCGGCAGTGATTTTGTAAACTCCAGCGTCTGATGATTGAACATCTTTGATCACTAACGACATACTCTCTTCATCTTCATACAAAAATCTAGCATCATACACAATATTATCAATTTGATTTACCCAAAGTTTTTATTTCTTACTTGTATTTCGTTCCTGCTTCAACCGGTTTCCCGTCATGAGTAAACTTGACTTGTGGCTTCGGATATCCTTTTACCTGAAGCTCCAACATGGCTTGATTGCCAGCGGTGACAATAGGCTCTTTTTTCTCGATGATTAGTTGAGGCTTTTCCGGTTCCCTAAACAATTGGTTGACTGTCCCGTGAACTGTCAACTCTGCGCTGCAACTAATGTGTCCTCTGGATGTTTGAGCAACGCATGTATAGAGGCCCACATCGTCTGGACGGACATGTTGGAAAACTAGTGCTAAGGAGTCTTCGTCATCACCCATCAGAACTTTAAAACGTTCGTCAGGTTCGAAGCTCGTGCCATCTTTTTTCCAGTGGAAGTCCGGTTTTTCTCCGGGTGGAAGAATCTCGCCTTCCGGCATTTCGTCGAAGATTTCTTTGTTATCTTTGAAATAAATTATAATGTATTAAAATGGAGAAGAAGGCTATAAAAATATTTAATTATTATTAGTTTAGCTACACTTTTTGGATCCAAATATTTATTATTCCATAGAAGGACGAGTGTTAAGTTACATCAAATTAAACATAATTTTGATTTACCCTGTAAGAGTATTAGAAAATTGAATATCAAGTTAAAGATTGATATTTTTCGTATCATAGATCTAGTGAATAATATTTTTTTTTATAAATTAGATAATCGAATTTAAACACGACATTTGACACTATTCCATACCTGTAACAGTTACAGTTGCCTCAGATGAAGATTCTCCAAACTTGTTCGTAGCAACACACTTGTATATTCCTGCATCTGTCTTTTTAACCTCAGGAATAACCAGTTCATAGAAACCTTTATCTGAATGTTCACGTACCACTTGCATACGTTCCTGATTTTCGGATATTTTCTTGCCATCTTTGAAGCTGACAAATAGAAAAAAAATTCTACTCCTTGCTTAATATTAAATACAATGATACTTACAAGCTTATGTCTGGGTTTGGCTCTCCTACAACTTTGACCATGAATCGCAGATACGTATTTTCCAGTAATTCCGCATCTTTCATAGATACAAGGAATTCAGGATGATCGCTCTTAGCTCTTTCCTCTCTTTCTTCGGTGGTCACTAAAGATCAAATCAACAATATGTTTATATCCTTTTTAATTTTTGTATTTTTAAACATAAAACTCGTTTTAAGACAGGGTTATTGAACAAATATAGTAAATAACCAGTAAAAATGTGTTAGGAACAAGGAATAAATTAAATTTCAAAAATTAAACAATAAGTATAGTATACAGGGTGGTCCGAATTGTATTCCGGAAACTTCGGCAGCATATTCTGCAGATAAAAATAAGTAAAAAAGTTCGTATAAATGTATGTCTTAAATTGCTTAGTTTCGGAAATACAGGGTGTAGAAGTTTCATTTTTATTTCAATTTTTTTCAAATAATTTATGAAATGACGTCAATATTTGGATGAAAATTGGTACCTGGGAGTTTCTTGATACGAGAAATTTGATTTTGATGTCAATATGACTCCTACTTGTAGAGGGCGCCACCTACATATTTTTTAACTGGTTTGAAGAGTAATAACTTTTCGTCTGTACCTGTATAAAACTACTGAGTAAAAAAATATACATTTACGACGCTTTTTACGTAAAAAAGCTTTCTTGGTAAAAATTGCTACGACTAATGGTTTTCGAGATATTTGGAATCGAAATTATCAATAACGGTCATCACTGACATAAATTAAACATGTTCATAATTCTGAAATGTTTTCGTCTCCTACAACTTTTTGACCATGAATCGCAGAACGTATTTTCCAGTAATTCCGCATCTTTCATAGATACAAGGAATTCAGGATGATCGCTCTTAGCTCTTTCCTCTCTTTCTTCGGTGGTCACTAAAGATCAAATCAACAATATGTTTATATCCTTTTTAATTTTGTATTTTTAAACATAAAAATCGTTTTAAGACAGGGTTATTGAACAAATATAGTAAATAACCAGTAAAAAAGTGTTAGGAACAAGGAATAAATTAAATTTTAAAAATTAAACAATAAGTATAGTATATATTATTATACCGGGAAATATGTATTTTTATTTTCTGTAGGTAGTATTTGACATAAAGTACTTCACGCCATTTCAGTTAAATATTAGAAACAAAAAATTAATTTGCGACAATTTCTTTTATTGTTGTAAGTTGTAAGTCAACAATTTTATGAAAGTTTTAGAAAAAGAGATATTAAATAAATTAAAATACTAAGGCAAATTTTTGTTTTCATCATAAATCTATTTCTAAAAATTATATTGTGAATTGTTTATTATTTTCAATATTTCTTGAAGGATTCAGTAGTAATAGTTGTAGTATAGTAAGATTTTAATTCAATAGCAAACTTATTATCACTTAATTTTCCGAAAGTTTTAGCTTAAAACAACAATAATTAAAAACTATTAGGTTTTCTTTTGCCGTTCAGTTATCATGTAGCTGTGTAGTATTATACCCCATAATCGAAAAAAAACAGCGTCCAGTTGGCTTGGAAATGACGATCGATGACAGCGATCTTCATTTCATAGCCATCGCTGACACCGTTTTTTTTTCGATCATATTGTAGTTATTGTATATTATTATCGCTTTATATAGGTACATTATGTTGTATTATGTATACAGGCACGTTATGCGTGTTATAAAAACAAGTTATTGAATTTAGGAATGTCAATTAATATATACAGTGTGTTCAAAAAAATTGGCCACATATTAAAAAGTTTGCTGATTCCAATAAGTTTCTTGTAATAGGCAGATATTTATTTGCTTATCCAAACAAAGAATATCAGCTTGATGGCACAATTTCGCATGTAAATAATTTTTCCACGGTTGTATACATTGTGTAGCTTAAGATATTCAGTTTTAGTTATCTGCTTGATAACAACAGTACAGTGGGCTGAACTTTCCGAAACATAGAAGTTGTGAAAATCAGAAATCAAGACAATGGTAGTTTAACATATTAATTTTATTTCAAAATTTTAATATTTTCCATAAGAATTATCTTGGCCCAGTAGTACATACCCGGTTCAAGGTGAGTTCAGACGTAAACAAGGTTTAAAATTTTAATAGGTTGGTCAATGTCTTCTTATCGTTGAAATTAGTTTAAAAATTAGGTATTTAACGATTGATATTAAGCTTGAGTTGTTTAAGCTATACAACCGGGCCTTATTGTTCAAATACTGCATAATCTTCTTGATCACACTGTATATTCTAACAATATTATAAAATAATACATCTGTGAATTATATTTAATGCAGAAATGTATTATTTTGAAGAAGAGAATTATCGACCCAAATAACGAGTAAAATAAATACAACGAATCCAAAAATCGACATATATAAAATCCGACATATAGATCCTACTAACGTTCGTGAACGACCAGCTGCGCAGAGCAAGATGCGTGCGCTTTCTCATTTTGAGCCACGGCCGTGTAGATACCTCCATCTTCGTCTTTAACCTGCTTAACGGTCAACTTGTATTCCTGACCGTTGGGGTCGCTGGCCATCTGAATCCTACCCGTTACGCTACCGTCGCCATTTATAGGTTTACTGTCTTTCAACCACATAAAACTGGTTGGTTTGTGCTTGAGCAATACCTCAAAATGTGCCGTTTCGCCAGCTGTTAATATGAGCAGAAATGAAGATTAGTTGGAGAAAGGTGCGTCAAGTCAAAAGTATCGTATTTCCAGACAAGAATACATTTTACGATTGGTTAGTTGATTTTGTTAAAATTTTCTGCTTCAAAAAGTTCCACTATTCAGTATTCATTTTTTTCTTCAACGTCTTTTACATTACATAGGCAGACAATGATAGGTCACCTTTCTTTTAAACTGATTGACACCAAATTATATTTAAATAATTTGAATGCTGTATTTTTTGGTTGAAAAGTAAATTTGCCCTTATGCTTCATCCAGATCCTCGAAATTAGTAGAATAGATTAGTGCTTTCAATTATTTAATATACTTTAACTTAAAAATTATAGATCATTGACAATGTCTAAAAATACAATTTAAATTAATAGAATATATATAGCTGTTGCTTGCGGTAGTCAGTTACATCCATAGCAATTAGTTTATAAAACAATATACAGGGTCTTCCTTAATGATATGCTGATATTTAAGGATGTGATTCTTTGACCTATTCTAAGAAAAAAACTTCATATGAATATATGTCCTAAACATCTTAACTTTTTAGATAGAGGGTGGTAAAATTTTCTATTTTTTTTTCAAAATATCTCTGATGGTATATTTGATACACGTCTTGCATGCATTAAAATGCTTATTTTGATATACAAAAAATGTTTCATTTCTTAATTTCCTTTCAGTCGATGCAGAAATGATTTCCACAGAACAGTCACCGCATGATATTTTCAGCGATTTGAACCTGAAATAAACTGACTTTAATTTTTTAAGCTAAAACTATGCGTCGCGTCGGTCGAAAAAAATCAAGAGACAAAAAATGTTTAGAAATGGAAAATTTGAAAATAATTTTTATTATAAGAGAAGTCAGTGGTGTACCACTTTTTTCTCCAAAAATATTCAAAGTAAAACCCGTATGGACGGCAATGGTTGAAATAAATAAAATACTTTGTACACCAAAACAAGTATTTTGATGCATAGAAGACGTATATCAAGTTTCATAAAGATATCTACATATATCATAGTTATGAAAAAAAGTTTTTTTTAAGAAAAAATTACCACAATGTATCTCAGAAATTAAGATGTTTAGGACATACATTCATATAAAGTTTTTCTCTTAGAATAGGTCTAAGAATCACTCCCTTCAATATTAGCATGTTATTAAGGAACACCCTGTATAAAACAATAAACTTTTGATTTCGAACCACAATTTCTCTTGACGGATGAAAAAAAAGTAAAGGCTAAAATAACAGGGAGAGCCACAAAGTTGCAAAAACGTCACCTGGATATGCTTGCGCGTGTTCTATTTTTATTTTTACGTTTTTTATTTTTACGAACGATATATATTACGAACTATAGATATATTTCGCGTCAGTTTTTTGAATATGAGCTTCTTTACGGTTCACTTAACATCCCTTTTGAATATATAAAACGCTTGAATATTTTTTTCTCGTTATCTACTCTTTCGTATGCCCACCCCTACCATGTAATCCGCGAGATTAATAGCTCTTCATTACCAAAAACACATAAGGCACATACACTATAAATAACTAAAACGCCCAAGTATTTTTTTGTTTTTTTGAAAACCACTACATGCTCCCCCCACCAGTAAAAAATAATACACCGTATGATTTATTTTTATCTGGAAATATGATACTTTTAATGAAATTTGATATGCTTTTATTTCAAAAAGCTCTCAAGATAATGTTGATGTGAAGAATACTATCACAGAATACTATGTAATTATGCAAAGAACAAATAAGATAAGATAATAGTATAGTTGAATGTAGAAGTAATTTAATATACACTTACGCTCTATGCTGGTTCCTCTAATTGTTTTAATAAAATGAGGTCTGTTTCCATCCAGTTCCTCCAGCTTTTCTTCAGCCGATTTTTCCCTTGCCGTCCTCATACTAGTCGAAAGAGACTCCTGCAAATTATTACCAGTAAACATAAGTACGTGAGTTTTCGATTCTGTAGATGCAGTGCTAATAGCAGTAGCTATAGCTTGTGAAGCGGAAGTTCTTCTTTCCATTGTTGACATTTCGGAAGTCGATATGCTTTGCTCCGATTGCACAATGGAAGGTTTGTCCTCCATCGCAGCTAAGGATTTGTTATCGATTGTGCTAAGCAGGATAGAAGCTGTGGATTGTATAGCGCTAGCCGTTGCTGAAGCCACACTACTTTGCTCTAGAACAAGCTGAGATTTTACCTGGTGTTCAGATTCTACAGAAGTTTCGGACTTTTTAGATTCACGCGAGTAAGATTCGGATTTATATTCCCTGGAGTGAGATTCTTCTCTGGACTGCTTGGATTCCAAACGTTCTGATTTGATTTCTTTACCGTTAAGAGCACTTGATTCTTTGCTTACATTTACCGAAGATTCATCTAGAACATAAATACTGTATAATTTTACATGTAGGGTTTGGATGTCACATGACTTTATTTTTTAATTGTTTTATTTGATTTTTAAGTAGTTTGTATCACTTAAAATCATAGTTCAATTATTGACCAACTAAATTTCTTGAGCTATAGGATTTAATTTTATTTTGAAGATATTTATATACTTTTTTTACATTAGAAATAATTTTATTTTGGCAAATTTAATTTCACTAGTAGTAATTGTATTAAAAACTGTTATTTTTTTTCTTACTTAATACAAATCCAAAAATACTAGGTACAGAAAGGACAAAAAATCAAAAACTGTTTTATGTCTTAAAATGTCATACCCTATACCCTAAAATCATATTTTCTCTTTGCCATTTTTCGAATAAATCCAAAATAACAGAGTTATTTTAGTTTGAAAATTTCCAAAAAAAATATTTTTTGCTAAAATTTTGCAAACAACTGGATCTTTTCAGGATTTTTTTCTTGTAAATTTAATCTACTACCTATGTTGCCATATTATCAACAAATTATGTGTTTAACTAAATACTAACAAATTTTCCGAATATGTTAAAAAAACAAAATTAAAAAAAAAATTCGCGAAAAAACCTAGTAATCCTGTTTCTGGAGCCAAGATATACTACCCCTAAAAATATTTGCACTTATTTAAGACTCACCCTATATATTATTAATTAATAATTTCACTCTGTATTGAATATTTTACTATAATATCGTTTAACGTATATCCTAGCCACAGAAACTCGTAGCTAGTAAAATTATAAGTGTGAATTATAAAAAATGGCAGTGGCGGACATGTTTTACAATTATTTTTGATAATTGGGCCGCCACTTGCCACTGGACTTGAGCTCTGTGGTCTATACTAACCTCTTACTACACAAACAAAAGACAAATTTAAAGAAAATCGCCTACAGAGTATTTGAGATAATTACAGTAAAACTATTTTTTGCATAATGTTGAGCATCCTGTATCTTTAAATTATGAATTTCCGGTCCCATGTTTGTAGTAACTTTTCTTTATATTTTTTGAAAAGGGATCGCCCTCTAAAATTTGGTAGTTCATTTTTCGAACACCCTGTAGATGAAGATACAATGATAAAAATCTTTGTAGCACCTGAATGATATAACTAAAATGATATTAGATATCTTTCTTTTTCTTAAACCTTTATTCAATATTTCAATTGTGATTTTTTTGGGTATAGGTTTTTTTATTAAAAATTAAATGATTTCTGAGTGTTTTTAAATCATTTATTTGCCGACGTTTCGATTTTTTTTGTAAATCTTTTTTAAGGCATCTAAAATATTTTAAAAAAGCATTAAAATGCGATTTCAATTTTTTTAAATATATAACAAACATGTGTATGTAGAGTCAAATATTCTTAAAACATAAAAACATAAAGTCAGTTAAAAAATCTTCAAACCTTTGTTTGAAAAATTGACAGGAGCAATTGAACTTTATATTGTTTTCTTTAGAACTTTTGACAAATAATTCAAGGTTACTTATAACTCTTTTTAGTAATATTTCTATAAACAAGAATTTTTATTGGAAAACTTCTATAAAAATCAAATAAAACACCACTAAAACTGTATATGTCAAACTCACATTTAGCAAGTAAAACTAATACAGGACATTACAACCAAAAAAACTCATAATAGACATGACTGTGTTATGTATATAGTGAGAAAATGTGTAATGTTTTCGTAATAAAATATAGTACTATATTATTAATTTAATATCCCTCATTTAATAATTTTGTAAATAGAAATTCAAAATTAGAATATTAACTCACCAATCTCGATTCTTGGCGATCGGTCTGTTGATTCTCCTCTAGAATATTTTTTGGAATATTTGGAGTAGGCGTCTTCATCCAAATCCCTCTTGGAGGAATATGATTTTGATTCAGATGATTCTTCTTTGCGCAAATATTTTCGAGCATATCGCTCGTACGGATCATCTTCCGGATCAGCTTTAGGTTCGATAGATTCCTTTCTCGAGATTCTTCGAGAGTACCTCGGAGTAACCTCTTCGTCTGCACTAGGTTTACTCTCCGTCGAACTAGCTCTAGAGTATTTCTTTGAAAATTTGGCATACACATCTTCCTCTTCATCATCAGCTCCTTTTTTATCGGAATATTTTCCGGAATACTTTGAAATTAATTTCTCAGTGTCTTCGGCACCTTCTCCTCGAGAAGTGGATCTAATACCATATTTACTTCCTAGATCGCTACTTTCAGCAGATACGGATCTTCTTGAATATTTCGAGCCTAGCTCCGATCCTAAACCTAGAGAACGTTTGGTACTGTAACTTAAGGCATCGTCTGAAGGTTCCAGTCCTTCTAAACTACCCCTAATAGATTTCTTGATGGTATAATTGTCGTTGTCACCTTCCGCTTCTAATGTGCCACGAATGGATCTTTTGGAGTAGTAGCTACTATCTCCGGGTGTTCCTTCGGTAATGGTTTTACTAGTACTGTATTTTTTGGAGTACGAACTGGTGTAATCACCATCATCATCACCTACACCACTTCTAATTTTTCTGGAGTAACTGTAGGTATCGCCCTCGTCATCTCCCAAACCAGTAGATCTGATCGATCTTCTGGAGTAGCTGCTCGTGTAATCAGTATCGTTACCCTTATCCAGCGGTGGTTTTCTGGCGTAACTCGAGGTCAGAGCTGATGAATCTTCACGTCCATATTTTGATGACAATGGATCGTATTTAGATGAAGTATCATATTTCGAAGATGTATCATATTTTGAAGTGGGGTCATACTTTGATGACGTGTCATATTTAGATGAGGTATCGTATTTTGATCCTCCAGTTAAAGAGTCATATTTGGATCCTCCGGTGAGCGAATCATATTTTGACCCTCCTAAAGCCTCTGATCCTAGACCATATTTTGAAGTAGTGTCCGTACCATAGCGAGAAGAGGAGAGACCTCCATCTGTTGAGTATGATGGAGCTGTTCTGCTTTCGTACCCCCCACTGTCTGCGAATGCATTTTACATTATCAGAAGATAGATTGGTATTTTCTAGAAAACAACCATTGCATTGCATAGCGGAAATATTAGCACATAGCTTTTTGTCGGTAATTTAGCAACATAGTTTGTGTATTGACATGTATGAAATGTTACTACGTCTAGAGATACAATTAAGCAACACTGAAGCATGCTTTCATATATACAATTTATACTGATCAGACGTTTTTCTAAATTCTTAAATATTATATTTCGTTTTTCGTAATGTTACATTTCTTTCTTTATTTAATAAAATACCGTATGATCGAATAAAAACGGCATCAGCGATGGCTATGAAATGAAGATCGCTGTCATTTTAAATGTAAAATTATATGGGAACTGTCGTCGATCGTCATTTCCAAGCCAACTGGACGCCGTTTTTTTTTTCGATCATACGGTATTTACCTTTGGTATTTACTAATAAACATTTTTTTAATTTAGCTTTTTCTAGATTTTTTTTGTAATATGATAATTGTTACAGATTTTTTAATAGTTTCCACTTCAAAACTAATAATTATAGTCAAATAGCCAATGCTGCTTGGTATATACCGGGTGCGTCTCAAAAGTGGCTCACCCCTATATCTTTTTTATTTTTTCAGTTAAAAAACGAGATTTGGTATTTTAGTATATGACATAAATTAGGACTGATTGACGTAATCAATTGTTTTCGGTCACTTCCTGTTTCACCGGAAATGACTACAACTTTTGATTTTTAAATGGCACCCTCGGTATTTTTTTACTTTATTGGAAAGAAAATAACACTCTGAATAGAATGACATATCATATGTCAACTTTTGACATTTTCGCATATAGTTTATTTGAAATTATAACCATTGGCATAACTACAGGGATGCCCGGGGTGCCGGGCCCCCCCAGGCCCACCCCAGGATAAATTGCTAGTTACGCTAATGGTTATAACTTGCGGTTCGTAACGAACATTTGACTCGAAATACCAAATGTGTGGTATCAAATTATTCGTAAAAAAATGATTTTTCCAAATATGCTAGTGAACCACCCTCGTTCCATTTGAAAAAATTGAGATATGATTAAAAATACGATTTGAGCATTTTCTAACTAGCCAGGACAAGACACTAAAAACATTAGACGATAAAATCTATTTTTCTAAGGCTCCTTGATCAAGAATTAGTGTTTTTAACATAGCCATGGCACTCTAGATTGAATTTTAAAATATGATTTTTTATTAAGTGAAAATGTCAAAAGTTGACATATGATATGTCATTCTATTCAGAATGTCATTTTCTATCAAATAAAGTAAGAAAATACCGAGGGTGCCATTTAAGAATCAAAAGTTGTAGACATTTCCGGTGAAAAAGGAAGTGACCAAAACCAATTGAATACGTCAATCAATCCTAATTTATGTCATATACTAACATACCAAATCTCGATTTTTTATCTGAAACCCGGTATACAGGGTGGTCCAAGTAAGCACCATATCAGTTTTCTTATTTGATTCATTTTATCCAATATTTAATAGAAAATATGCGTATGTATTCTTTTCGAGACCAACTGAAAGTAATTCGCGGTTCTTTCGGGACAAGGTAACAATAATTAAAAATCTTTTATTGTCTTTTAGAATTGAAATGGGCCTTTTTGAGAAAGGGTGAGATCGTGGGCGATATTTGTTTTAAGCATATGATCATGAATTTAACAATTCCGCCAACAAGCGTCAAACTTGAAAAAGTTTTTTTCGGCTGGTTTACTTTGCAATAAGATTAGGTCTCCTTTGAGTGACAACAGTCTGGACGCATTTTTATTTCTGAGATCTTACTACAGAGAAAAATCCCTTATTATCCCTTTTTATGGGAATTACTTTTTATGGATAATTCCCTGTAGCATTTATGTAGTAGTGCTATTTCTTATTGTGCTTACTTCTTTTCTCTTTTGAAGTTCCTATAATGTTTATTATCAATTATTAAAGTTTATATGTTATTTTTTTATTTAAGTATAAGATTATTCAATGATATTAGTTATGTTTTTATAGGAATTTGTAAAAATGTAGAGCTTTTTTTTAACAAACTTAAAAAAAATTAAATTTAAAAACATTAATACTTAAACAACTGAGTTTACGTATTAAAGTTGTAGATTTATATACAGTTGGCTAAAAAAATCATGAAAATAGGGCTAAAAGTAAAAAAATATAACACTTTATTAAACATGACGAAAAAATTCTCCGTTGCGTTTTTTTGCATCTGAGTGTAGAAGACGCAAAAAAACACGATTTTATAAGCTTTATTTACAAACTAATCAGTATTTCTCCAACATTGTTAGTATTAAAATAGAACAAAATCAAATCTCGCGTTCATGCGATTATGAAATCAAGCAAACAGTTTGCAGAGGATATAATATAAGGTTGTTGGTTGAGCGTCTCTAATATTTTGTATACTTTGGACAAGAGCCAAGACATTTTGGAAAACGCCGAAAAAATATGTGTGTGTCTTTAATGACTGATTTTTTAGTTCAAAAAGTTCTTGTAGCTTTTATACCAGTTAAACAGAACCGTATTATTGAAGAAAAAACGGCGTCAAAGACGGCTGGGGAATGAGAGTCGATGATAATTTTCGCGAGGTCAATCTCTAGACGTCATTTAACAAAAATTTTTATAAAACTTGTCAAAAATTAACACTTATTATAGAAATATTAAAACGGGATAGAACGTTTTCAGACACCAGAAATATATTCCCAAAATATTATTCTTCCCGATTTTTAAACTACACCATTTAAAAATATTTGTTACTCAATATAAAAATAATTACAACCTTCTTAGGGCCAACTGGCAGTAAGCGCTATTAAGAAATAAAAAAGAGTACGGGCCAACTAAATGCCGTCTAGGGCTTGACCTCGTCAAAATTATTATCGATTGTCATTCCCCAACCATTTTTGACGCTATTTTTTTTATCGTATGGTGTATGAAAGTAAATTAAATTTTTCGTAATTATCCATTAATCTAGAGTAGAATAAGGACTTAATTTCATAAAAAAATTATTCTCTAATATTTCCAATAAAGAAGAAAGTCTGTATTTATCTTAATCAAATATAAAATCACATTTTTTGGTACTATTTAAGGAACCAAAATCATATTTTTGGTATTTTATATATTACTCCAATCTAATGATGGGATTACTCGAGTGAAAAATACTCGGTCACCCGAGTCTTCAAATCCTCAGTATGTCTCGAGGATTTTTGTCGATTTTCGAGGATTACTCGGCAGGCCAACAACTAACGCCGTATACGTAATAACGCCGATTGATACTGAAATCGTTTCAAATGAAAACAAGTAATTCCCCGAATTGCTTGATTTCATTTGCCCTGAAAGGTTGTCAGATAAATCTCGAAATCAGAGTAAAAGAAACAAATTAAGCATGGTTTTAAGGCGCAACCTATGAAAATTTTATTTTCCATATCAAATTATATACACGAAAATATAAAACATTATTAAAGAAACTGTCTAGAAAAATAATTATTTATATTTATTACAATATAACTCATTCAAGGTACAGGAAAGACTATGACAACAAACAGTACCGAGCATTCGGGTATCGATCAAGATATAACACAGGCCCTGGAGTAGATGTGCGGAATATTTATGACCAAAGATTCTTCGGATGGTTATCAGATTATTGAATCATCGAAGATCAATACTCGAGGATTGAAATCATTCGATTATTCCCAACATTACTCCAATCCCTCGATAATGCACTAGAGACTTTATTAAGAGCATATCGGTTAATAGTATTTTATTTGGTTTAAGAAATTCTCGGTTGTTACTTTTAGTCACCCCTTATTTGATTTTAGTGCGATAGCTGCAGGCTTACCTATTGGAGGTACTAAAAAAACACTTTAAATGTAGGAGTTGTAAGGTTTTACCTGAACCGCTACAAAATTAAATAAAAAGAATCAAATGACGAGAAAAAAACATATAGCTTTCCTTTTTTTAAGGAACACCTTGTATATTTAAAGCTTTTTTTTGAAAGATATTTTTTCAAATTCGGAAAATATTCCTAGATTTCTATGACCTCTGTAATTATCAACTTGTACTAATAAGATTATTCTCACGTTCTATATACAAAAATATCTAATTATTGACCACAGTAAACTGCGTCTAGTATAAGCCAAGCGACTGGTTAGTAAATAAAACCACATAAAAATGCATTAGTATATTTATTTATAGCCAAACAGAATTCTAACCTCTCGTAGAAGAAGTGTATCTTCGGCTCATTTCGTCTGAAACTTCCACATTAAATTCAATTCCGATATTATAATCGGTGAGTACGGTGTCACTAACTCCCGGTGACTCGATACTATAAAGTTTCTTTAACGCACTTCCCGGCACTAGCTCTGGTGGAGGTTTGATATGGTACTCGACTTTCTCTTCTAAAACTCTTGGATTGTTAATGTGTATCAAAGGCTCAACCGCTTCTAACTTCTTTAAATAACCAGTGTCTTCTTCGAGTTCTTTGATAGGGCTTGAGGCTTTATAGGTTTCAGTATTTTCACTTACTTCCGGAACAAGAGTTTTATCACTTGATGAACTTGACGAATCTGTTCTATGAATAGAAGTTCCAAATTTTTTGGACGCAAACTCAATGGGTTCGACAACTTCGGACTCTGGGGTTAATATATGTTTTAGTGTATCCGATTGGACAATATCAGTGGTAGTTGTAGTTGTTCCTAAAGTGATTCCTGTTTTCTTGTCTTCAGTTGTAACTTTACTTACAGAACCTTCTTGTTTGCTAACGTCGACTTTCTTTTTTTGGGCTAACTTTAATTCTGATACTAAGTTATCTTGAAGTGCAGTTTTTTGAACTCCTACAAGTTTAGTTTTCGCTTGGAGTTCTTCAACAGGTTTTGGTTGAGCTTGTTGTGTTGCTGAGGGCTTGAATTTCTCTTTTGAAATTTCAGGTAATTCTTCTTTAGTAAGAGATATAGTTTTCGAATCTTTTTGAGATGTGTCGGTTGGAGGAGAAGCTAATTGAAATTCGTCACTTGTATTTTCCTCACTTTCACCTATAAATCAATTTTGATATTTTCTAGAAATTTATATAAATTCATATTTACCGTAGTCCTTCGCAAATTCTCTGATTTCTTGTAACCAAAGTTTCTTTATGTGATCTTTATGGGCGGTAAGAACTAAAGATTGACCACCTACTTTATCAACTAGCTCAAAAACGTGTTCGTTTTCGGGATAATCCTTAACTTCAACTTGAGGAAGCTGCGAAAATATTTTAGCAGTTTACATCTTGAGAATACAATTATTCATCATCTTTGAATTAAAATGACAGATAACAAATGTTACTCTTATACCGGGTGCGTTTCAAAAGTGGCTCATCCCCATAACTTTTTTATTTTATCAGATAAAAAAAAACGAGATTTGGTATGTTAGTAGATGACGTAAATTGGGATTCATTGACGTATTCAATTGTTTTTAGTCACTTCCTGTTTCACCGGAAATTACTACAACTTTTGATTTTTAAATGGCACCCTCGGTATTTTTCTACTTTATTTGATAGAAAATGACACTCTGAATAGAATAACATATCATATGTCAACTTTTGACATTTTCGTTTTAAAAAAAAATCTTATTTAAAATATCAATCTAGAGTGCCATGGTTGTGTTAAAAACACTAATTTTTTATTTAAGGAGCCTTGGAAAAATAGATTTGATCGTCTAATGTTTTTTGTGTCTTGTCCTGATCGGTTGCAAGATGTACAAATCGTATTTTTAATCATATCTCAATTTTTTCAAATCGAGTTTCAAATGGAACGAGAGTGGTCATTAGCATATTTGGAAAAAGCATTTTTTTACGAATGATTTGGTACCACACATTTGGTATTTCGACTCAAATTATCGTTATGAACCGCATGTTACAATTTCAAAAAAACCATATGAGAAAATGTCAGAAGTTGACATACTCGTATGTCATTCTATTCAGAGTGCCATTTTCTATCGAATAAAGTAAAAAAGTACCGAGGGTGCCATTTAAAAATCAAAAGTTGTAGTCATTTCCGGTGAAACTGGAAGTGATTAAAAACAATTGAATACGTCAATCAATCCCAATTTATGTCATATACTAACATACCAAATCTCGTTTTTCCATCTGAAAAAATAAAAAAGTTATAGGGGTGAGCTCTTTGAGACGCACCCGGTATATATTCTCTCGTTCGACAGACTATAGATTTATGAATTTTATAGAAAATTAGTCTGACTTGTAATTCATAGAAATTACTAGATATTTTCTTCTTCTTGATAGGTTATTAAATAAAATAAGATTGACTGTGAATGTGAATGATATTCCTGCTGATGTTCAAAGTTCAAAACGAAATATTGTTTTAAACTATTTTAAAATCAATTTTAAGAAATGATAATTGGAATAGACTTACTCTAATGATATCCTTCAGTTGAAATATGGATCTATCTTCCGAAATACGTCGGACTTTGCAAATAAGCACGCGCGCCTTGAAGAGAAAGAGATAACGTTCCTTGGTGACGTCGCCAAAGGTGACGGTGAAACGGTCGTGCAGAAGAAGGCGACCGAGTTTGTGGAAGCTGCCCTTGTATCCTTCGATGCTCGAGATGAACTTTTCGTCTTGGGCACGATGGGGGACGCTTAGCATCAAATCGAGGGCCTTCTGTAGATCGTCGTTGGTCTCGCCAAGACACGCGCTATACCTTACCAACTCCTGAAAATTAGAAATTGGTATATTAAATATTTTCAATTCACAAATTTTTCATAAATTCCAATATGTATTGTATATGCATGTACAGGGTGTCCCATTTTAGTTGAAATCATACGGGATCTCCGTTATTAATGAAGACAGAAGAGTGCGGTTTACACAAACCTGTTCCACTTTTTTGTCAAACGAAAGATGTTATAAACAAAATTTTTATAGCCTTCTTCATTTCTGAGCTACAGGGTCTTTTTGAAAATTTTGCAGTTTGGGGCACCCCTCGTATCTCTGTTATTGTAAAAGGTATCGGGAAGGTGAAAACTGTTTATTGTAGAAAATTTTACGTAGAATACAATAGCGTCTGTTATTCTACAATAATAATATTTTTGAAGATATGAACTACGTTAGTTATGTTTTCTTAAACGGACCACCCCGTATATTTATAAATTGTATGATCTGGCTTGCCATAAGCTTCTCAAAAATATATATCACTCTATATTTATTTTCACTATTTACTGCAATATTTAAAAGTTTTCATTAAAATATCATTTTTATTAGTAAGTCATAATTGATAATAAAAAAATATTATGTCTGTTTTCTGTCTATTGTTTTATTTTGGTAGCCATTAATAAATTATTTATATATCAAGGAAACTTAACTCTCTACAGCTATTTGTAAATATTGGACGCTGTCGCACCGGAACTTTTAGATATTCCTTTAGCTAATTTACGTGAATAACGAATACACTTTCAGCAAGATGAAGCCCCCCCTCACAACTTTGAAAATATTAGAATTTATTTCCCAAATCAATGAATTGGGACTCTGTATTTAGAGATTTTCGAAATGAAATATACTTTGGTAACTCCAACAACTTCGGCGACCTGGAAAATGCTATCAGGCAAGCTTTTAGATATTTGTAAACCCATCCCGTTATAAGAAAAAGAATAAAAATATATTCAGATATTCAGAGGTAACAACTGTAAAATAAGATATTTTAATAACAAATAAAATTTTTGACATCTGTATGACTGTTTTAGTAAATTCCCTTTTTTATTTTTTTGTTGTCATCACGACCTACTAATAAGAACATGATATCTTTTAAATATTGCAGTAAATTGTGAACATAAATATAGAGTGATATATATTTTTGAGAAGTTCATAGCAAGACGGCTGATATGATTTATAAATATACAGGGTGTTCCATTTGAAAAAACATAACTTTAGTTTACATTTTCAAAAATATCTTTTTTAGTAGAAAAACAGACACCACTGTATTCTACGTAAAAAGTTCTACAAGAATCAGTTTTTACCTTCTAGATATCTTTCACAAAAACGGAGATACGGGGGCTGTTCAATATTCCAAAATTTTCAAGAAGACCCTGTAGCTCAGAAACGGAGAGGGGTGTGGAAATTTTGTTTACAGCATCTTCCGTTTGACAAAAAAATGGGACAGGTTTGTGCAAACCGCATCGTCCTATCTTTATTAATAACGGAGATACCCTATGATTTCAACCAAAATGGGACACCCTGTATAGGGTGTTTCATTTTGCAAGGTCTCTCGTTTATGAGTAGAGTTACAAAGATGGGATTTTCAGATCACTGTATTACTTTTTAGCTGACCATACCAAAAGGTATGGTAGGCTATTAAGATCGGCAAAAAAAATTTTTTTTGATTTCGCTCAAAATGAGTTATTTGGGCCATAAATGACCTAAATACAAAATATTTTCATGGTGTCTGTCTGTCTGTCTGTCTGTCTAACCTAATCTAACCTAACCTAACCAAAATTACAGTAGCTAGCGAAACGCGGTTTTCAATTTAAGATTAGGAATAACATTTGCAACAAAATTTGTAATAACATCAAAATCAGTCAAAGTCGTAGTTTTTGAGATATTCCGTAGAGTGTTTCCGTAGTCCGTTTTTGAGAGAATCCGTGTGGAGAACTCCAAACTCCCGTCGGACGCGACCCCAGGTGGCGGATAGGGGAAATATTTTTACTTTGAAACTAAAAGAACTGCTTACCAACTTTTTATTAACATATTTTGGTATGGGCGTGGTATTTTGGTATTTGCTATACGTGCCCCCCGGCGCCAATTTTTTTAAACTAAAGATGATATATCCTAGCCCCCTTGGTTTCTGAAATAAAGGATGAATTTGAAATTCTATTTTTCTCGGTTATATTAGCGAAAAGGTGAAAATTGAGTCCAATAGAGTTTTTCACGTAAAACTCAGTGGCGTAACTAAATTTTCGCTGGGAGCTGTCATTCTTGAAATATGGCCTAAACTTATTTTTTTTATTGGTATACCATGTATATTATTTTTTAATTTTATTTGTATTATTATGCAAATTATTATGCAGCAACAGTAAAAATTTGAGGTTTATTTTTTAATAGAATATATTTTCAACCTACCTATAACTATCTATTCAGCTCTTTGGTACGTTTGAGATTAGAGGTCTTCTTCATAAATTAAATTTTCAGTAATATTTGAATTTATAACAAATGAAACCGTTGTAAAATATGAACTGCTATCATAATAAGAGTTAGTATGCCTATGTAATAAATACACTCTTCTATCTCCATCGAAGTAGTCTTAAAAAAATCTTGTAAAACACTATTGCAACAATAACAATCTCCAAAGTACAAATTGTTCGTTTAGACTTGATCACATCTACAATTTTCTTAGCTATACAGGCCATATAAATTAAAACATCCAATTATAATGTCGATTTAAAGGCGCCTGAAAATGTAAACCAAAACACAAATGATTGCTAGTAGCCCGATATAAAATATACAGCTGTCGATTCCTTCCATAATAACATTAACTACTGAGGATTTTGACGTAGAATTTTAACCAAAATGTTTTATTTGTTGTCACTTTTGACATAATGACAATACTTTGTCAGGTAGACTCGGTTTTAGAACAACAATCGGAGTATTCAGTGAGAGATACATACCTTCAAATCTATAGTTACATGTAAAAAGTAGTTATTTAATAGAGACAATATGATCGAAAAAAACTTTGTTCCAAAAAAAAGTTATGATAAACTTTTAAGTTTTTAGCCGACCATACCAACAGGTATGGTAGGCTATTAAGATCGAGAAAATTTTTTTTTTAATTTCACTCAAAATGAGTTATTTGGGTCATAAATGACCTAAATACAAAATATTTTCATGGTGTCTGTCTGTCTGTCTGCCTGTCTGTCCGTCTATAACACGATAACTCAAAAACCGCTAAACCGATTTTAACCAAATTTGGCACAAAAATACTGTGGCACCCGAGAATCTGGCCATTAGTTTTTGATGGGGGTGGGGGGTTGTTAAGGAGGTATGGGAGGGGATTAAAATTTTTAAAAAATCGTAACTCCAAAATTACAGTAGCTAGCGAAACGCGGTTTTCAATTTAAGATTAGGAATAATATTTGCAACAAAATTTGTAATAACATGAAAATGAGTCAAAGTCGCAGTTTTTGAGATAAAAAAAATTGGAATTTTTTTTTTACTTTGAAACTAAAAGAGCTGCCTACCAACTTTTTATTAACGTATTTTAGTATGGGCGGCTATACGTGCCTCCCGGCGCCAATTTTTTTTTCGTTTAGAAGCAGAATTAAAAAATAATAATTTTTTATATTTAAAATATTTCTAAATTTTTAATGGGTTTGCAGATATTGGCTATGTTTTATTACCTATGAGGTTCTCAACGATAAAATACAATTAGACAAATATCATTAGGTGGTTCTGATAAAAATTTAATGTTAAAAGAGTCATATATGTAATATAATACCGTGAATATCTACAAAACCATTAAAATTTTAGGAACACTTTAAATACAAAAAATGTTCGTTTTTTAATTCTGCATCTAAAAGAAAAATAAAATGCAGGGTGTTGCCTTTAAAAAAAATGGAATATAGCTTTTAAAATGTTGCAGTGTAGCCATAAAAATTACCCTGTATAAGATAATGTCAGTTTTTCTTCACGGTGTATTCTGTTATCTTTGGTGTTTAGTTTAATATAGCCAAGTATTAATAAAGTTAAATTCACTCTAGTTTCTAAGCACTTTTCTGATATAGTGTTTTTAACCAAAGTTTCAGTAAATATGAAATAGAATGGCAACATCGCATGGTGCAGGAAATAAAAATAGAGTACTATATATGTAAAATTTTATGCTGAATCCAAATCTATAGAGAAAAATGGGAGCTGCAATTTAAAAAAAAACTTAAAACTTTATCATAACTTTTTTGTATTTCTGTATAAAATACAGAATGTCACTGATAAACTGAAACTGAAAATAAATCAAGTCAGCCATATTAAAACTCCTTCACGGTTTAACTAATTTTGTTAATATACTCCTTTCTTGGTTTTTATTCAATGAGATATAAGTCCAGAGTGTGGTTAAAATATTTTATGATCAAAAAAGTTGATGACATAGATATGTCCCCCACTGTTCTATTTTTTTAAATAGGTAAAAATATATATATAAATATAGAGAAAAATTTGATTCAATAATTTATTGGTTTTGTTTTACTTTTTTAATAAATGTATAAGTTATTAAAATTGTTTTTACAATAATATATTACAAATATACAAATTACAAATATATTTCTAATTAATAATGGGGAAGTTATAATAATTATTTAATAACTAAAATATCAGATATGCACTGAAACATCTTAGTCGTCTTAATTATTTTTGAAGTGGTAAATAGAAGCAAAAATACAAGAAAATATACCGGGTGGTGCATCGTCGTTGGAAACAAGAAATCTCATGCAAATTTAGAACTGTCCAAATATTGGCTCCCCTATTAATTTTACAGCTAAGTCGTACATAGGTTTTTTAAAGGTCTGTCTATGCTGAATACACGTGCCAAATTTGAACAATTTTGGACACACCCTGTATATTTCAAAATAATTTTAAATTGTGCACATTGCCTCCCCACATATACCCATAAAATATTTTGTTTCTACACCTTTCCGTTTTCGTATAATCAACCGAGGCGAATGAGGTGCGCCACCCGG